CCACTCTCCCACCCCACAGTCTCAGCGGGGTGTAGGAGCAGGGCTGTTCTAGAGGCTGACATTTTGGTTCTGGGGGAATAAATGTCCCTGGTCACTGGACCCTGGTCACTTCCTCCATGTTGGAGCAGACCTTGAGGAGAGGTTTAAAAATGACCAGGTGACATGAGTCAGTATTTTCCTAATGGTTTGGGGTTGGGGGGGGGACAGAATCTGGACCTGGGATCTACTACCAGACTAAAATTAGGCTGTGGGCTGCGTCACTCGTCGCTCGTCAACCGTTGGAGCTTCACAAGAAGTGATAAATAGTTTTAATGTGAAAGACAGACGCAGCAGAAACCACCGCCGTCGTCCCGCGGCTCTGTTTTTATTGTGGTGGGGGGAGGGGAGGTGAGGAGGGTGGGGGGGTAACTGTTCCGAAACATGATGTCAATTTTACTGTAACAGGGAACATGGCTACCAGTGACAGGAAGACGAGGAGGGACCAGCTGTGACAGTACACACAGCTAATTTATTTAGTCACCCTTTCCTCTTAGGGCTCAGAGACGGTACGGTACAGTACGGGTCGGTTCAGTGCCATGATCTGTTTCTGAGTGATGACCCCCCCCTTTAAGAAACACTGTTGCACATAATTATTCTGTAAAATTCTTTGATTTATTGAAAAGTGATTATTTATTTAAAGGGCGTTAAAAATAAAACATTTTCTGTTTTATTGACGTTTGAAAGAGTCTAAAAACCATGTGACCTGTCTGAAATGTTCCAAAGATCCACCTCTTAGGACCACCTGTGGCGGAGTCCTCTACCTGAGCTGCTCCAGAACCTCCTGGGCCAGTCTGGACCTGCTCTGCTGCAGCGTCAGCCGGGCGTGCTCCATGGTGCAGGAGAACTGGGGCAGAGCAGGGAGGGAGTCCAGAGCACGTTGGCAAATCAGGGTCTTAGTCCTGGCCTGGGTCAGCAGGGTCTGGAAGTGGTCCAGGTCCAGCTCCAGGTTCAGGTCTCCTGCTCCGGGAGCCTCAGTTTTCCTGGAGTTCTGGATGAGGGAACAGAGGTTCCTGTGGAGAAGCCTGACCCACTGGAGGGGCTCGGCCCACAGGTTCAGATCACCCTTCTCAAACAGGAAGTCTTCTTCAGTCTGGTGGAGAAGAGAGGAAACGTTAGAAGGTCGGGTGAACAGAGGAGGTGCTGGAGGTCTGGTGCAGTTTGGGTGGACAGATGAAGAGACAGAGGTCTCACCAGGGCGGGGGGGTCATCTGCGTCCCCCTCCTCGCCGCTCTCCTCATCTCCCAGCAGCCACTCTGTCAGAGCCAGGACTCCAGCAGGAACCTGTCCCCAGGACTGAAGAAGACCACACAGGAGCTCCAGACCCAGGTCCAGGGCCACGGACGGACACACGGAGAGACCGGACACACCTGGGGACACAGAGGACGGGGGCGGGGAGTATGATGTGATATTAGTCTGAAGTGCAGAGTGAGAAGAACCATCCCATAATTATCAGTAACTGGATTAAAGTTGAACTCATTATATAAATAATTATAAATTATTAATTTTGTATGCTAACTGTTAGCCTGCCCTGGCTAACATCTACATACAGGAGCTGTGTTTTGATGGAATTAAAAAAAATATACAAGTGTTGAATATGAAAAGATCACACACACAGAGAGACAGAGACAACAGGAAACACAGGTGTGAGAAGGAAACGGAGGCGTGAAATAAAAACAGAGACTTTACGGCCTTGACTCCCCCTGCAGGACGACAACGACGACAACAACAACAACCAGAAACCACAGATAGAACACTGGAGAATGTCAGTGAACGGTCGTCTTTGTCTGACGTCTGCTGACAAACATCAGTATCTTTAAGCTAACGTCTGTGCTAACTTTAGCTTCATCAACCACATTTTCTTCTATGTCTGTGTTTATTTTGTAAAAAAACATTATGGTATTTTCACTGCCTGTACTTGTACTTCCTGTCGTATGATGTCGTCCTCCGTCACCGCCCGTGTTCAGACTCTGTATCAGTCGTTTTAGAATCTTTGTGACTGTAGGATTTTTCATCGTTTGTTTGATTTGATCGCTGCTAGAACGTGTGTTCGTGTGTGTGTGTGTGTGTTGTTCACACATCTAGACTCTCCTCCATATCAAAGGACCAGGAGTCGACACCTTCATCTGAAGCAGCAGCAGCAGCGGCGGCTCTGACACCAGACTGTGCTGCGACAGGTCGTAAACACACACATGGTGTAACTGTGCTGCGTCTGTCGTCTGCGTTGGGAACCAGAGGTTCCTGTTCAGGTTCTCTGATGGTTCTCGAGGTTAGCCCAGCAGAGATAAACACTCAGGATCTTCACCCCAGTGTGTCCAGCAGGAAATGTAGAGGCAGGTTTACGGTAAGTGACACACACACACACACACAGCACTCCTCCCACTCCCACACACACACACACGGTGTAATTATACCGGGTGAGTTTTATTCCTGTGGTTGAAAATAACATCTCCTCCCACTCCATGCTGCAGAGGTTCTATCTGAGGTTCTACCTGATTATCTAGGTTCTATCCAGATCTTCTGGACTCATGAAAACACACACTCACACACACACACACACAAACACCGTCTTCTGTTAGATACCAACAGTTGTCACAGACACAATATGGGGGGGAGGGGGGATTGTTGCAGGAGGGGAGAGAGTCCACAGTGACAGAGGACAACAGGAAGTAGCACCGAGGAGACATCTGTCTGAGAGACACCATGCCTCCCCCCTTCCCCCCCTCAACCTCCCAGGACGATGTGTCTTCACTGAAGAGGTGGTTACAACAACACGTCCCCACAAGCATGGCACACGCACACACACACACACACATGCTGGTGTAAGTAACATTTGGTGACATCACGTCATTCAAACGGTGGACAGGAAGTGATGAAAGAACTGACTCTTGTTCTGTGTGTGTGTGTGTGTGTGTGTGTGTGGACTCTTACTCAGCAGAGGCGCTGGTACACTGGTGATAAAATCCGAGGCCGAGTCTCGAACCTCCTGGTCTTCATCCTGGAGCAACACAAACACACTCCACCACAGAGAGACTGTAGCGGACAGACCTAAAGGACACACACACACACACACACACACACACACACACAGAGAGAGTTTAATCTGGCTGTAGGTGGACGTCACCTCCAGACTGACCTCTGACCTCTCACACTAACCCAGTGGAAGGTGGGGGCTGGTCAGCAGGGCTTCTGTGCTGTGGACCAAGACCTCGGCGGCCGTGAGCTTCACCTCCACCGGCTGGTCTTCACTGCAGCACGAGGACAACAGCGCCACCCACTGAGCTAAGCAGGACATTTCACTTGCACCCTAAAAAAAAAAAACAGAATGAATGAATCAGGAAACAGAGAACAGAGGTGACGGAGGTGATGAACTCCGTCTGGTTCCGTCACAGCCCAGTCGTCCCGTGGGTCGGTTCTTACCTCTGGGTCGGTGTTGACCCACTGAACCACCAGCTGAGAGGCCAGGGTCAGGGCGGCACAGTGGAGCTCCACACTGAAACACAACGGCAGCGTCACGTCAACAATCTGTTCTCGGACCAGGACAGAAACGGTGGGTTCGAATCCCCCCACTGTACCACCTTCCTGACACTGAGCAAAATACAGAACCTTCCTCAGCTGAACCGGACCGGACTGAACTGATGACAGTAGGGTATGTGGTCCAGTCCCATAACTTTCATTATGACTGTATTTCTAACATAACATGTCCTCACACACACACACACACACACACACACACACACACATCACTCACCTGTATTGACTTACAAGCCATAAAAGAAGTGTGCTGCGACACGCTGCTTTATTATCCCATCACAATAGAACCAGTGCCATTCAATCACACCACAGACAAGAGCAGCCAGCAACCCAATCTCACCCCCCTCCTCACCCTCCTCACCCTCCTCCCCCCAAAAGGGAAAGTGGATCCTGGGGGTGTGGAGACTACGTCCAGGAAAAAGGCTGAACAGAAGTGAAGCCTTTGTAACGTGAGCCTCAGTCGGGCCTGAACCCTGTTGTTGGGGTGAGAACAGTACAGCAGCCGCTTGTCAGGGAAGGTGTGTGTGTGTGTGTTAAATCAGAGCATGCTGGGAGCAGGGCTGTGACTCATGATGGCGTGAGCCCTGGATAAAGTGATCATTTGTCAGTGGAGGATAATGACGGAGTGACAGTTTGATGACTGAGGTCGGAGGAAACACAGATCAGTTTTCAGCCACATCTACAGGAACGGCCACAAGATTCAGGGAGGTGAGAACAATACTGCAGGGTAAGAAAAAAAAAAAAACAGGATGGAGGCAAGTACTGGTTCCTCCCAGGACTGAGGACCAGCAACCTGAATCCTGGCCCGTGTTTCACCGTTGCTCATGGACACTTCAGAAGTCCAGAGAAGAGAGTAGAAACCAGTAGAAGTGGAAATGATGTGGACTGGGATTTGAACAGAGTTTGTGTGTTTGTGTTTGTGTTTGTGTATGTTCTCTGACCTGTAGATGGAATGGACTGGGATTTGAACAGAGTTTGTGTATTTTGTTTGTGTTTGTGTGTTCTCTGACCTGTAGATGGAGTTCTGGGCCACAGTGAGGAGATGCCTGAGAACCTGCTGCTGGGACAGAACCTGAGAACCGTCCTTCCACCTCAGTTCACCACTAGAGGTCAACGCACTCAGCACCTGAAGGACCTGACAGGAGGAGAGAAGAAGAGAAGAAGAGAAGAAAAAAAAAAGCTATGAACACAGATGTGGTTTTCAACCAGAAGTGGTCACAGGTGGCGCTATACGTCCAGCAGCCTAATGAGAGCGGGTCACTGCAGACCCACGACCCAGATATTGTCTTAAAAAAAAAAAAAAAAGATCTCAATCCCAGCAGTCGTGGGGGGGTACTGCGTTTTCAGACTTTACTGTCTGAAAACGCAGTACTCAGTACTCTGTACTCAGTACTCTGTACTCAGTACTTTTTTATCCCTTTTATTTTAGTACTGCAGTAAAGATTCTAATCTTTCTGTCAGAGGTTACGGCTACACACGTCCTCCCCTCACCTCCCCCACCCCGTCTCTACACACACACACAGACCAATAAAATGACCAGACATATAAGCAGACCCTAAAACGTACACGGCAAAACTTACATAACGTGTATGCGTGTGTGTGTGTGCATGTGTGTGTGTGGTCCCACCTTGGCCAGACACTGCGGGTGTGTCTCATGAAGACCCAGGCCGGTGAGATCAGACATGGTGGTCTCGTCCAGCCACTGAGGTCTACTCTTCTCCTGTTTTTTCTCCTTGTCCTTCTTCTCCTGTTTTTTCTCCTTGTCCTTCTGCCCCTGCTCCTCCTGCTCCTCCTCCTCCTGCTCCTGCAGCCTCCTCAGGAGACCCTGGAGAACCAGTTCTCTGACCTCGTAGTGGGGGAAGCGCAGCAGACACCTGAGGATCTGGTCCGTCGGCCGAGGGACCGTCCAGAGCTCTGGGATGTCCACGGTGGCGCTGAGAGCCACCTGTGTGAGGCTGAGAAGGTAGTGGACGCTGCTAGGACCACGGCCGATGGAGGAGGGGTCAGAGGTCAGCAGCTCCGAGTCCATCAAGATGGACAGAGTGTTCTGACGGAGCTCACAGAGCTCGGAATCTGTAAGAGGGTCAATCATCACGAGAGCAGGGAAAATGTACCTCAAAATATATACATCTGTAGTAGTAGTTGTATTTGTGTAGTATTACTGTAGTAGTTGTATTTGTATAGTATTATTGTAGTAGTTGTATTTGTATAGTATTATTGTAGTAGTTCTTCAGTCACACTGCCTTCTTTTCTCCTTTTCACAGAAGCAGAAAATTCACTGTTAAAAAATTATATTTGTTTTCTACAAAAATAATAGAAGTTCAAAGAGAAATGTAGAGGAACACACACACACACACACACACACACACACACACGTGCTGCCAGCTCAGCCACCTGTGAACATACACCCCTGGGGAGTGATGGACACACAAATAAACACCACCGTGTGTGTGTGTGTGTGTGTTTCCTCTGAAACTGAAGTCTAATCCAGGGGCAGCAGAAGTTGTGCTTAACAGTTCAGACAACAGTGCCATGTTTCCTAAATTAGCGTGTTCATTAAGAAGGTCTTGGTTTTTCAAGTCATCCGTGCTGTCATGTCGGTGGCAGTAAATGTGTATGAAGTGTGATGTAAACTGCCTCCTGCTTTGTATTCAATCTGACACAAGTTTTCTTTTTCACCTGCACATCCTGATCTGTGCAGGAGAGACACAGTAAGACGTTTATATGACAGAGCCTCAGCCTTTACTGTAGAGAGTATACAGACGTATGCATACATTTACTGACACTGCACGTACCGGTTCACGAGGGAGGGAGGGAGAGGGGGAGAGAAAGAGGGAAGCACCGTGAGAAAGTGTGTGTGTGTGTGTGTGTGAGAGAGAGAGAGAGAGACTCCATCTTCCAGTTTACAGTAGAAACGGAGGACGTGTGTCCAAATATGCAGCTCTCCTCTTCATGTTGGTTTGCAGCGGTCGGTTCTATTTAGGACTGGAGGAGAACATCTCTGAGTGAATCCATATTTGGAAGAATCTGGTTGACCAAGCTGTCAGAGATCAACATCAATCGCCCTCCGCTCCACAGGCTGCCAGTCTAATTATGGTGATGTTAAAGCTAACGAGGCTCACGGCACGGTAATCAGGGTTGGGCGTCATCTACTGACGACTGGGAAGAACCGTCCTGTCACCGTCCAAACCCAGTCTGGGTCAAGGTTTGACGACAGCGACGAGAACCCAGTGAAGAACTTCACTGTTCCTAATTCAACCACAGGGAAAAAAACGGTTCCAGTCCACGGGAAGAGGTGAGCTTCATCATCATCTTCATCATCTTCATCATCTTCATCATCATCATCATCATCATCATCATCATCATCATCATCATCATCATCATCATCATCATCATCATCATCATCATCTGAGCTTCATCATCTTCATCATCTGAGCTTCATCATCATCATCAACATCTTCATCAGACCTTCATCTTCATCATCAGACCATCATCATCATCATTATCATCATCA